ACATGCCATAGCTGTCATCTGAGAGAATCTGAGCTCCCTAGATGGCCAGCGCGTCCAGTTTTTATCGCAACACAGTCCTCAGCACGCCTATGCATATAAAGGTTCTCGACTTCAACTCGCGACTCAGCCGTCCAATGACACTCTGGAGCTCTCAGTGGGATGCAGCATATCATTTTGCATCGATTGGTTCGCTCGAGAGTTCTGTGGTTGGCCCACAGCTCAAGTAAAGTTGAGAGAACCGACATCACCTGTCAAAATGACTCCGAAAATGAGATTCCGCCCGGATGCTTTTTGATAGTATCAATGATGGTGTGCACCTGAGATCAAGATGGCGAGATGGAATGGCATCAAACTCCATGGGACAATATTCGAGTATGTTCAAATTTCGAGAACATGATTTTCAACCGACCCACAGTGACCAGAAGACTTCGAGATTTAGCGATTCGTTTGCAATGGCGCCGTCGCGGCTGCATTTGGCATGTCTCAAAGCGCAACTGTGCACGGAAGAGAACGGGTTCGCTGCAGACGAAGCAAGAGGTCCGCCGCGCGGTTCCGAGCCAACTAGCCCGCCGTCGCTGTGGAATTAAGCTAGAGCTTCTCCGCTTCGCTCATGGGGAACCTTTACGAGTCATTCCACGTCCCTGATGCACTACACCTGCGGCGCGCGCACAAACCATTTCTGGGATCGCCCTCGAGATTAGCAATTCGTTTGCAATGGTGCCGTCGCGGCTGCATTCCGCATGTCTCAAATTGCATTTGTGCAGGGAAGAGAACGGGTTCGCGGCAGACCAAGCAGAGTGTCCGCCGCGCGGTTCCGAGCCAACTAGCCTGCCGACGCTGTGACATTACTCTAGAGTTTCGCCGCTTCCTTCATAAAGGAGCTCTACGAGTCATTCCACGTCCCTGATGCACAAACCTGCGGCGCGCACAAACCCTCTCTGCGCTCGCCCTCGAGAAATTTGTTTGCAATGGCGCCGTCGCGGCTATGCGGCACTTGGAGCCGGCGGTAAACCGTCAACCAGGTTATCGCCGGGACCCTCGTAGAGCTCTTGACGTGCGAAGTAGTTCGATAGCAACATAAAAACTCGAAAATTCAATTTTCTCAGTGTTGCACGCAGTTGTTTCCGCCAAGTTTTCAGATAGCAATATTATACCTGCAGACCTAAGAGTTTTACGAGGCGGCGTGCCATGCCCCACTACATATGCAGAGAATACAAGAGTTGCGCAGCATCCTTTCCGCTGGAGTTGAATTCACGAGACCATTAGGATTTCGAAAAATGCATTCCAACAGCCGACGGTTCCTCCATGTCTTTTGATAGTAATATTACAGCTAGGAACCTGATAATTCGACAGAGAAGCGCGGCGCAACCCATTACACGTGATCAAAATACTGGTTCTCAAAACGAATTGTCAAATTTTTAACAATTTTCCAAAAACCGACCCAGAGTTCTCAGATTGTCCGCCCGGGCCGAGTGGGCCAACTCCACCCCGCGCCGGAATCCTCTAGCTCATCGATGCCGGAGAGCTCTACGAGGTATGTCTCAAAGTACACCTGTGCACGGAAGAGAACGGGTTCGCAGCAGACCAAGCAAAAGGTCCGCCGCGCGGTTCTGAGCCAACTAGCCCCCCGACGCTGCGGAATTACTCTAGGGCTTTGCCGCTTCGCTCACGGGGAAGCTCGACGAGTCACTTCGAGAAAAGAATTGAAACAAAAACAAACATTTTTTTTTGTGGTTGCGCGCAGGAAACGGGACAGGGGGCCTGTGCAGTTTCTCCGCGTGGCAGCAACGCATCGGGACAGGGGCCCCTTGCCGGCTCTGTGTCCCGCCGCCTGACAGGGGCCTTTCGTCTTTCCTTCCTCCTTCATAGAATTTTTCTCCGTCGCACTCTTTCGCGCGTGTGTGTGGCATTCCGGGGTTTTCGCGTCAGGCCTTTGCACCATTTTTCATCGCATAGCTTGGACCTGGCAATTGTTTCAGGGATGGGGACGGGGTCGTTTTCACAATGGAATTCTCTTCGTGGCGCCGCGCGCATTCTCTTTCCAATTCGGTCTTTCTTTGTGTTTTGCAACATAGAGAGTGTATTGGCGCGGCGCACATATTCCGCCCACATGTGCAACAGCTTTGCCCCATCATCTTCCAACGGGTACACGGATGGAGGCCGTTTCCCTTGGAAAAGGGTGCTTCAGGCCAGTTCCTTTTGAAAAGGGTACTTTCGGTTCAGATGGGCATCGTTGCAGCGCCAGACACTTGAACAGATGGAACAGCAGGGGCGGGGAACGGTTCCTTTTCAAAATGAGGCTTTCACCTGAGACGTCTTCGAAGGTCATGACCACAACTGTAAGCTTTCCGCCAGTCACACGGATGGGAGCCGGTCCTTTTTCAAAGCGGGACTTTCGCTGGACTTCCGGTGGCACTGTATCATCATGCGATTTCGAATGCAAGGCAGTTCCTTTTCAAAGCGTCGCTCTCGCTTGAATGGCAAACCTATGTGGTGATTTGCGTTGGAAAGGGTTTCTTCTGCACTGAACGGGAAGGTTTGTATGGACTTTTGAGGAGAGGACTTTGGACGGGAGGGTGTATTGCAGCATTGCACTAGGGTTTACCCTGGCCCTCCTCCTCCTTCACTTGTTCCTCATGATAGGTCTGTGGAAGCGTCCCAGGCTCCCTTTCTCGGTGCCACCGGAACCTGTGGTGGAGCTTCCCATTGGACCACGAAGCGTGTGAGGGCTGCGAAGGACTGAGCCACTGGCCAACACGCGAATCCCAACACTGGCCTTTTGGGGGGAGCTCCTTATAGGGCTTGATCCTCGTGATCCTCGCGATATGCGTGCCGTCATTGGCAGCGGGGCGATATGCGAGCCCTTCTGGTGGGGCCTCATGTGGACCTCCCTGTAGGGCCGCGGTCTTCGTAGGGTCACATCTTCTTTGGACTCATTAGGAAGGGGGCTCCCGATCGAGATTTCGTCATAGTTCACTCGCAGATGTAGCTCCCGTTCGAGAGTTGCTCAACATGCTTGTCTGGGTACCGGAGTGGTGTGAGAGTTCGAGTGAGTGTGCGTGTTTGTCAGAGTGACCACGATGCTTATGATGACGATAGGGATAAATATGTGATTATGGCTAGGATGATGTTGATGATGGTGACGATGATGACAGATGGTGATGGTGATGGTGATGTTATGAGTGATGGAGATAAAGAGAGAAAAAGAGAGAAAAAGAGAGGTAGAGAGATAAAGAGAGAGAGAGAGAGTAGTCGAGAGATATGGAGGGTGTGTGTGTGGGGTAAGATTGACGAGTAGAGAAGGAACAGGGGAGTCGAGGAGGGCGAGGGGGACGTTCTGGCGCGGGTGTGTGTGTCTATAGAGAAGCATAACCTTAGGCTGCGGGGAGTGACATTTCGTTCAAATCGAAACATGCATCCGACACTGCACTCTGTTGAGTTGCGTTTCGGTTGGTGTGGTTGCTTACTTTCGAATAGTAGGCGATCCATACCAATGTCGCATATGTATTTTCCAGTCAATGTATCAAGGTTCATTTGTCTGCAATCAGCATGGTACCGATATCGCTCGATTATACTTTGTTCAATTCATTCCGCAAAAAAGGGTCTCGGTACTGCAAGCTGTTGAGTTGCGTCTCGATAAGTTTGGTGGCATCATCTCGAGCTATAGGCGTGCTGCAGCGTTGTCGAGTATATACACCTGTGTCAGTCAGAAGTTCAAGGGGCACCTGCAGAAAACACAAGGACATGGATAGTAGTCGATGATATTTCGTTATGTGCGAAAAACGACTTCGAACATGCAAACTGTTTGGTTGCGTCTCGGTGGGTTCGATGGCTGAATCTCGAGCTGTAGGCAAGCTATAGCGCTGTCTAGTACACAGGGTTCAGGCAGAATTTCAAGGCGCATTTGTCAGCAGCCCTTCAAGCACTGCGGTCGGGCGATGATTCTTAGTTTTTTTGGTGAAAAGCGACTTTTACATTGCAATTTGTGCCGTTTCTTGGCTGAATCTCGAATTGCAGGTGAGCGATAGCGCTGACGATTGCACACGTTCCAGTCATAATGTCAAAGCGCATCTGTCTGAAAATATCAGGGCACCGATATCGAACAACATTTACCGTAATCGGGCGTTCGAATTATATTTTTCTTTGGTCTTCGCTGTAGGTATCCTTGAACGTTACTTCGAACCCTTCTCGGGGCCTTTTGGGCCATCGTGGAGGTGTTGGCTGCTTTTGAGGCTTGCTGGGCCGTCTTTGGATGGCTTTTTTGGGAGTCTTGTGTAGCCGTTCTGGGATGGTTCTCAGCTGTGCTGGAGCCGTTTGGAGTCCGGAACCGGCGTCCGCGAAAGCTAAGCCAGAAGATGTTTTGTTTGACCCTGCTCGTACCAGGTGGCTTGGGGATACATAACAGGAGGAAGTCACAGAATCCTACCAGACAGCATACAACCGATTTCACACGATCCACCGTGCCGCTCGCACGGTGGCCGACTAGTATCGTCCAAAAATGAATGATGATCATTCAGGAGGGGAAAACACAGACACAATTGTTCCTCGACTCCCAAGAAAATATGGGAAAATGAGAAGTGGGGGGGAAGACAAAAACCCAGATGATCTGGGAAAATATGGGGAATCCTGTTATTTGTGTTTATTCATTTGTGTGTCCCTGGGCCCCTTCAATCATTCCCAATTGATGCATGTACTCGGCCCCGGCGAGTTCTCATGCCGAGCGAAAGCAGGAACGACAACGGTCCAATCACAGTGCAAGTTGTTCGCGAGCCCCGCGTTCGAGGCCCACCGAGTGCTGGCGGGAAGCAAAAACTGTGTTGTGACAGACGGGTGCGCCTGAATGGTATCCCTGAGGATGGATTTCCTTCTCATCCCACCGCCGCCTACGTATGTCACTTTTGAGGCCACGCCCTACTGGCCACGGACGGACTCCCCAGAGGAGCGGACACCACTCCAGCGTTCGCTTTGCTTCGCTTCGCCTACTCCTCTTGCTACCATGCAGAAGCGGCCCCAGCACCAGTGGGGCGTCGATGGTCCCGCGGCGTGTGGGCGCCATGCCGACTCCCGCGCGCTGGGCCGCGGTGCTGGGGGCGGCCGCCATCGCCTGGGCGCGCTACGGTGGGCGCGCGAGCGCCACCTTGGGTGACATGCGAAACGAGGCCCATTTCGAGGTTTGGCTTTGTCTGTCTAGTTGTGTCAACCTTGATGCTCCTTATTCGTATTCGAGGCTTCACGTTTGCAGGGTTTTTGGGGGAAATGAAGGCGGGCTCGCGCCGTCTCAAATCGAGCAGCTGATTATCGAGTTTCTTCCATTTCCGAATCCCGAGGTCTGAGGGCTGTCAAAAGTTCCAGCTCGCAGTCGAACTTCAATCGGATGAGGCCTCTGGCGATCAGGGAGTCCTACCTTTCCTCTCTCCCCCGTTCCCTCCCATTCCTTCTGTTCCACCCGCTTCTCCTTTCCTCATCTCCTTCGTCCTTCCTGTCTTCTTCTGGCTCATCGATGTTTCTTCTGCTTGTGCATATTCACTTTTCTTTATTCTTTAATCGCTTCGCTCACTCCGCCCATATTGCCTCGCCGCTGTCGTTTGTCGGGGTGGTGTTGTCAATGCGGTGCGGTTTGGCGGCTGCCATTTTTCCAGAGGCGGTTGGTGGCGGGTCAGAGGCCTCACAGATGTTGGTTGGGCTCTCGTGGTTGGCCTCTCAGGGGCCTTTTGGGAGGCAGTTTTGAGGCCTCTTGGGCTTCTTGGGGTGCCTCTTGGGGTGCCTCTTGGGGGCCCCTTAGGGCCTCTTGGGGGCCTCTTGGGGCCTCCTGGAGGCCTCTTGGGACTGAAGAAGGCTGGACTTTTCGGTTCCTGGTCACCTTCTTGGGCCCCTCTTGGGGCCGTTTCGGGGCTCTCTTGGGCCGTCTTGGGCGCCTCTTGGCCTGTCTTGGGGCCATCTTGGGCCGTCTTGGGGCTGTCTTGGGGTGCTCTTGGACCCTCTTGGGGCGATCTTGGGAGCCTCTTATGCCATCTTGGAGCGTCGGGAAGCCGAAAAGGAGAAACCCGAAAATATATCCCAAACCAACGGAAAATCAACGAATTTTGCCTCTTGGGGCCCTCTTGGGAGTGCTTCTGGAGGCCTTTGGGGGCGTCTGGAGGCCATGGTGGGCGTCTTGGAGCGATCTTGTGGCATCGTCGGCCGATCTCTCGAGGACTCCAATGGCTCTTGGACCGTTTGGGCGCTCTCTTGAGGCCGTCTTGGGCGCCTCTTGGGTCGTCTGGGGGGCCTCCGGCATCTCTGGCGGGCACTCGCCAGGATTTTGGCGGGGTATTTGTCGCGTCGGGGCCCCCCGGGGCCGCCTCGCGCGTGCGAGCTTGTTCTATTTTTAACTTGGTACCGGAGATCTTAGCACGCCTCTGGCCCGTTGGGCCAGCGAATTTGTGTGTATATATTCAAGAGTGGACGTGTCAAGCAGCCCTGGGCTTTAGACTCGCCTTCTACGCGAAAGCCTGGTGCTCAGTAGTATCGAAATGTAGTATGTGCATGATGCGTTCATCTTAAGCCTGATTCGCGATTCCGCCTACTGCTATCTGAATTCAAGGGAAAGCCGTCATCCTCTTATCGTTACCACGGTCTGATCTTTTCCAGATTCGAGTTTTTTTTCCCTCCGTGCTCTTCTTCCTCTCTGTTCCCGTCCCTCCCCCTTCTTCCCAGGGCACTGCAGCTCGGTAGTTTGTGGCTTCCCTGCAGCTATGAAGCCTGTCCCGGTCCTCCCCTGTTTCCCCCGTCCCCATGGTCGGTGGAGGTGGAGAACGGAGTAGGCGGTGGGGACCGATGGACTCCTCCATTTCTCGGGCATCCCAAATGAGGACCCATCGTGATTCGACACGGACGTTGTCGATCTTATTCCCCCTCTAACCTCTTCCTGCAGGCAGGGCGATGCCGTTGTGGCGATCTGATCACGTTCTGCTCGCCCTGTGAGGGCGTTCTTGCTCTTTGGGGCTTGGATGGAATGTGCCGTGGGTGTCCATCTTGGCAGGTTGGTTCTCGTCGCCGCGGCCAGACCTGCCGTCGTGTGTGTTCTGGGTGTTGACGTCGCCTATTTACCGTGCTGCCCTTCCCTTTCTCTCCAGTTCATTCGCTGGCTGCCTTTCTCTTGCCGTGCTCTTCGAATCTATGTTCATTCGCTTTTTGGTATGTCTGTCTTCATGTATATATGTATGTATGTATGTATGCATGCATGTATGTATGTATGTATGTATGTATGTATGTATGTATGTATGTATGTATGTATGTATGTATGTATGTATGTATGTGTGTGTATGTATGTATGTATGTATGTATGTATGTATGAACGTGTGCATGTATGTGTGTGTATATATATATGCATGTATGCATGTATGTATGAATGCATTAATGCATGCACGTATGTATTCATTTCAGCATGTCAGTCAGTCTGTCTGTATGTCTATCGAACCGTCTGCCAGTCTGTCTATCTGTCTGTATATCTATCTAACCGTCTGTATGTCTGCCTGTCAGTCTGCCTGCCTGTCTGTCTACATGTGTATATATATATGCATAAGTATGTATGCATGTATGTATGCATGCATCCGTGCATGTATGTATGTCTGTATGTCTGTATGCCTGTATGCCTGTCTGTATGTATGTCTGTATGTCTGTTAGTCTGTATGTCTGTTTGTGTGTTGTATATACGTATGTATGCATTTTGCATGCATGCATGCATGCATGCATGTATGTCTGTCGGTATGTTTGTCTGTCTGTCTGTCTGTCTGTATGGATGCTTGCATGCATGCATGTATGTATACATGCATGTATGTCTGCATGTGTGTATGTGTGTACGTGTGTATGTACGGATTGTAGTGTAATGCAATGCAGGGTTAGGTTGTGTAGTGTAATGTAACGTAATATAATGTACTATGTACGTATGTACGCATGTCTACATGTATGCATACATGTCTGTAATGTATGTATGTATACATGCATGTGTGCATGTTTGTATGAATGTATGTATGTTGGCGTGTATAGATCTGTATGTTTGTCCGTCCGTGTCTGTCTGTCTGTATGTATTAATAAATGCACGCATGCATTCATGCATTCGTGGACGTAAGCATGTATGTATGTATGTATGTATGTATGTATGTATGTTTGTATGCATGTATGCATGTATGCATGTGCGCATATGTGTATGTAAGTATGCATGCACATATTTTGGTATGTAGTCATGCATGCATGTATGCATGTATGGATGTATACCCGTAAGGGCTGCGCTCCCTGCCGCCGCCCCCCTCTCTTGGATAATGGGCAATGCACGAGCGAAATCATGAGGCCTTGGCGCCGCCGTGAAGCAACGTCCGGACTTCACGCGAAGACGATGAGTAATCGGCAAGACAGATTGAGATTCTGATGATATTGTTGACTTCGGGGTCGCAATGATAGCGTAATTCATAAAGGTTTATGGCTTCGGAGACGCGAATATTGTGTAATTGCGAGGGTTTATGGCTTCGGACACGCGAGTATCGGTAATTTACGAAGGTTTATGGATTCGGGGTCGCAAATATTGCGGCGCAGGTTTATGGCTTCGGAGACGCGAGTATTGCATAATTTCCGAGGGCTTATGGTCTCGGATACGCGAATATAGCGTATTTTGTGAGGGTTTATGGATCCAGTGATGCGAATGTTAAGTAATGTGCAATGGTTTGTTGCATCGGGAACGCAACCATTGCATAATTTACAAAGGTTTATGGCTTCGGAGGCGCGGATCTAGCGTAATTTACGAGGGTTTATGGTTTCGGGGACGCGAATATTGTATGATTTTCGAGCGTTTGTAGCCTCGGAGACGCAAGTTTCGCGTATGTTGCAAGGGTTGATGGCTTCGGGGACGCGAATATGGTGTATTTTGCGAAGGTTTATGGCTTCGGGATCGCGAGTATTGTGTAATTCACGAGGTTTTATGGCCTCGGGGACACGAGCATTGTGTAATTTCAGAGGGTTTATGGCTTCGGGGGCGCGAATTTCAGGTATCTTTCCGTGTCCCTCGCTCCCCCCAGAAATTCTGAGACCCCTCTCAGGAGACGCTAACCAGGCTGATTTTCGGCTCCCCTCCCTCGCGCGGTCTACAACAAGGAACACTAAGCAACAACTAGCAGATTTGCAACAGTGGAAACTGGAAGCTGGAACTGGTGCAGGGAACAGCAAACTCTCGTCCTGCAGCCTGGTGGCCCCACAAACGGGCCGGCGGATATGCTACGATACATACATATTTATATATATATGTATATATGTACATAGGTTGTATATATATACATATATATATAAATATGTATGTAATCATGCATGTCTATTTCTATGCATGCATGCATATACGTATGTATGCATGTATGTATGTATGCATGTATGCATGCATGCATTCATGCATGCATGTATGTACGTATGTATGTATATATTTATTTATTTATGTATGTATGTATGTATGTATGTATGCATGCATGCATGCATGCATGCATGCATGTATGCATATATGTATGTATGTATGTATGTATGTATGTATGTATGTATGTATGTATGTATGTATGTATGTATGTATGTATGTATGTATGTATGCAGGTATGCATGCATACATGCATGTATGTATTTATGTATGTATGAATGTATGTAAGTAGGTAGGTATGTATGTATGTATGTATGTGTGCGCGTATAGCTAGGTGTTTACATGTGTATGCATATGCATGCACGCATGCTTGTATACACTTTAGGCAAGTATGTCTGAGTAGGTGTCTGTATGCATTATTGTCGCTTCGCGCATCCCTACTTGCTGGACACGCCGTCGGCGCGCCCGCCTGCGGCTGGTAACAAGTATTCCTACTTGCGCTTCGCTTGCCTCTCTTTCTTGCTGTCTAGTCGCGGCCCGACTAGTATTCGGACGGCTTTCGACCTGCTTCGCGAGCCCGCAGACCAAACACATATCTCTGCTTGCCCACCCAGCTGCCCTTATCGGGGGAGCGTGGCATGATTTGGAGAGCTCGGGAGCCTCCGTAGGCCAGGGGCTTTCTGAATGCCTCTGGGAGTCTCTTGAGGTGTCTCTTGGGGTCTCTTGGAGGCCTCTCGGGGCGTCTTGG